CAGGCAGAGGTGGCTGCATTTCAGTGGCAGCTGAATTGCTCTGCATAGTGCTGATACTAGTCAGCGATGAGCCTGGTTTTGACCTCCATCTCAGTCAACACTAAACCAATCCCTCTGAAATCTCCCACGCACGATCGGATGCCAGGGTAGAATTTTTCAGGGAAGTTTGCTGCAGATTCGGTTAAGGGTTTGGGTTAGATACAAGGGCTCCAAAAACAGAGATGCCCTCACTTAGATATAGATTGTGGAATTCTTTGAGAGGCACCATGTAAACACAAAGCAGTACGGCTACTCACCTGCTCCTTTCGCAGATGGATCCAATACGACAGAGAGAATGGTTTTGGTCATCCTCATCCCTTCCGGCTAGAAAGGAATGACAAGAGCATACTAAGCACAGTAGCATTCAGAGACAATGAAGAGCAGTAGGAAAAGGTGAGCGACTTGCTGATCTTGAGATCAGCGTGAATCAGGAGTGACTCCACTGGAAGTCAGCGCTCAAGTGAAACTGAGATCAGGCTCCATCCCAGTAAGTCTGGACTCTGTCCTCAACCTCAGGCAGCGTCCCCTTTCGTTTTGGATCCTGGTTAGGATGCATCCAAGGAGAAGTCCCTAGGCCAAATTCATCCCTATTGTAACACCACTGATTCCACCACAGATGAATGGGAGGAATTTTTGCCAGAAGCTGGGAATGGGCGAAGGGATGGATAACTTTGATGATTCCCTGTTCTGTTCATTCCTTCTGGGGCACCTGGCATTGGCCACTGTCGGAAGACAGGATACTGGGCTAGATGGACCTTTGGTCTGACCCAGTATGGCCGTTCTTATGTTCTTATAAATCTGCCCTACAGAGTCTGGCAGGGCGAGAAAGTGAGAAGCTCAATTCATTCCATCATTGCTCTGTGACCTCCCTGAAGGACTTTTCTACTCCTTGATCTTCACTGGAGGATTTTCCTCTCACCCAGCATTACAGTGATCTCCTGGGGCAGGCCAATGGGACACCCTTCACAACCCATCAATGCTGCTCCTTTGCTCAGCTCTCTATGCCGAGTGATATGAGGTTCTCCCTGGGTGCACTGAGTCTGCATTGATTCCAGCACCCGCTGGTCCAAGGAGCAAGACCCTGGGCCTGAGGAACTGAACCTAGGTCTCTTATATGACGGCTCAGAGGATCGAGTGCAAGATAACTAGGCCAGCCCCAGCCCTGCTGTAGTTGCCACAGGGGAGGGGAGGAAGTGGGATGAGGATGGAGATGCAGAGTGTTAATTTAACAGGTTAAAGTACAGCACCGATTCCAGAAGCCAGCCAATCTGGCCTCCAGCCTCTTGCCCTCCAGCGGACATCTTCCCCCCCCCCCCCCGCCCCGTCATCTGATACCTACCACAACCTTCAGTTTCATCTTCACGCCATCAGAAAGAAAACTGTCCCACACTGCTGCCTTGACCTCAATGTTGTGAGATCCCAGCTGCAACGGGACAATCACTAATGGCACAGCCAGGGAGGACTTGGCTTTGATGTCAAGGATCTGCTGGTATTTAGCCTCGGAAGTGGATGAGCTGCAGAAAACTGGATTGTGCAGCAGCTCCAGACGGACCTGAGAAGAGAACAGAGATTCATGAGCAGGCAGTCTACTCTGCACACCATGACACTGTAGGGCATTGATCCAAAATGTACCCTCTGACTGGAGTTTGCCTTTAATCTTAATAAATAACAGACAGGACTGTATTTACAACGCACAAGACCGTATCCTGACCTCCTTCCTGAGCGGCTCTTCAGGACCCCCTCTAGTTCTGTCCTGCCTCAGAGAGGCCCTCAGCCTGTGGTGTTCCTGAGTGGAAGTAATGAGACCCACCTGGTCTAGCTACCAGTGTGAGTCAGCAGAAAGCCCTTCACCTGGTACCTACTCACAGATTTGAGGCCCAGCAAGCTTTAAACCCCTGGGCATTCCCCGCAGCCCAAGGCTGGTGGCTGGAACTAAATCCCAGTCACCTCTAACTAAACTGTACCTAACTAACGTATTAACTACCTAACAACAAACTGTCTAACTGGTAAAACTAGATTGCTAAGGGATCACTCGCAAGTGAGAGACCACGTTCCAATGCCGCCACGGAGGGTAAGAAGGAACTGAAGTGGGGTTGGGCCGGCAGGGTACTATATACAGCACCATAAAGGTGCCACTCTAGGGGGCTCCTCTGCCGCCCCAACAGGAGCTGCTAAGGGGAAAAGTTTCCGATGTCTGTGCACACGACGCAGGCGCACACCTAATTGGAATGGACGTGAACAAGCACTCAAAGAAGAAGGGATGGATCACTTGATGATTACCTGTTTGGTTCATTCCCTCTGTGACGAAGTGGGGGAGTTTCTTGGTTTTCCTTGTTTCCTATGGGGGAGTTTCTTGGTTTTCCTCTGGGGGTGGGACTCAGTTTCCCCAGGTGCTAAGGGTTTAACGAGGTGATGGGAGAGGGAGTTTGTTGTTACAGCGGACCGGCAAGGGAACTTGGGACCCCAGCCAATGGCCTGGAGAATGGAGACCCCAGCGACTGGTGACCCGGAGGCCCAGCTCAGGAGTCATAGCCGGTTCTGACCAGTGGGAAGACAATGGGCTGCGAAGAGAAGACTCCAGTGACCTAACCAGCCAGTTCCAGCCAGAGGGGGCCAGAGGACAGAAGAGAGGAGAGGAGGCCCAGGAGACCCTGTTTACGACCCTGTTTACCTGGATCGAAGACAATGGACAGAGGTGGGGCTTGGGGCTGGTGATATCAGATGCCCAGCTGGGAAGCAGGGGGGCTCGGGGCTGGAGAGGGGGAGCAGGCAGAGCCCACCTGGATGGGGGGAGACTTGGATGTGCTGTGTTGAGGGAGGCCAGGCCTAAGGCCCTGAGAGTTTCCTGTGCTGTGTGCAGACGCTCAATAAACTCTCCTGTTTTACGCTGGATGAGAGTCACTCCGGTCTAGAGAACAGGGTTGCATCGTCCCCTTCGGGGGGTGGAGGCCCCGGGATTCCAGAGTGAGTGGACTCCCTGGAGGGGGCCCATGGTGAGAAACAGGTGTGCTAAGGCTCAGAGAGGTGTGGCTCCAGGAGGTGGAGGGGCTTAACCCCAAGAGAGAGTGGACCCCCGGGAAAAGGCCTGTCACACTGAAAGGGACCCCCCCCACAAACCGCACGGAGCCAAGAGTGGGCACAATCTGTGAGTCCATGACACCCTCTGAAGCACCTGGCACTTGTCGCTGTCAGAACACAGGATACTGGGATAGATGGACTATTGGTCTGACCCAGTATGACCATTCTTATGTTCTTAACTGGGTGGATTCCATAGCCCTGATCCTGCAAGGTGCTGAGCACTCAACAAGGTCAATGGGAGACCAGGGTTTCCAGCCCCAAAGGGATCAGGCCGTAGAAGAACAAGCCTTCCACCATTTTGTTTCGGTTTGGCTGTCTGTCAAAGCATTGACACCTCAGGTCCATTGCAGAGCCCCATGAGGCGGTGAGCTTACCTTAAGGTTTTGGTCCCAATAGTTGTAGAGAATAGCCCGGATTTCCACATGCTCATTCCTCACGACAGAGTAGGGCACATGGAGGTCGATGAAAAAATTTTTCATTACTTTTATCTCATAGGGGTCAGCCACACAGATCCCTGCAATGGGGAAAGAC